AACATTAATCTCTAAATTTTAATTACAATACTATATAAATTTGTAAATTTACAATAATAAAGTGTTATTAAATAAATATGATGTGTTATTAAATGAAAAAAATACATATCATATTATGAAAAAATCCCTAAGTAAAACAAATCAATTATATGATAATATATAATATTATAAATTTATAATATCACAAAACATTATCAATAGAGTATAGTGCATATCAATCCCAATTAAAAAAAAAAAGAGAAAAGAATCTACCAACTTCAAAAACACCATTATATAATGAATATTTTCAAAAATCAACTATAAGATTTAATATTCTATTCATGTATATTATGCATATTAATTTTTAGAGTAATTGAATATATATAATTAGTTTATTAATTATAAAAAATTTAACACTATTAAATATATATTAAAAAATATAAGTTTCTTAATAGAATAATTATATATTAAATTAATTTAAAAGTTGATATATACTATCTATATCAATGAAACATTAAATTTAGAAGTTAATACTTATCTGTTTTACATTTTAAAAATTAAAAAAAAATTATTTTAAAATTACATCATTTCAATAAAATATAACAAAAAATTATCAAAAACACTTTAATTCATATTTTTATAAAAATTTATTGAAATGATATAATTTTAAAATAATTTTTTTTAAGTTTTTAAAAAATAAGATGGATAAGTATTATTTTTTTAAATCTAATTATTAGATTTTAAAAATATTTATTGGATGGTATATTTTTGAAACTAGCATTTACTTTTCTTTTATTGGTTTTTTTTTGGTAAAACTTTTATCGGTTTATCTATCCTCAACCATTAAAAAACATAATAAGTCCGCACTACTTTTTACTGTATCTTGAAAATAAGGAAATTAATTTTTATCTTAATTGTTGATGTTACATGTTAATTATTTATTAATTTATTTTAAATTAAAAGTCAAATATTATTTTTTTAATTCAAACTTTTACATTTATTTTGAAAAAAAATATAATAATTATTCAATAATTGGCGGATTGCCCATTGCCCCTTATCCTGCGGCTGTGCTCAGGATATAAAAACCCCTCTTTTTTTTTTTTTAATAAATACATCATTTTTAAAGTTTTATCTCCCATTGGCTTTCTTACGTTCGCAGTTCACGGAAAGATTGCTCAGTGCGACTACGAATAAAAACAAAATAAAATAAATTTTATCACGAAACTCTTCGCTTAGCATTGAATAAAAACGAATAAAATAAAGGAAGAAAAAGCGGTTCACTTTGGCGCAATCCTATCGTTCCCACCATCCATGGTGTTTTGGGTTGATCATTACGCAATTCCATTATACCCATCCAAAGATTCTCTCTTTCTTCCCTTTTTATCCCTTCTCCTTCCCCTCCGTTTCTTCTCCTCCTCTATCTCTCTCGACAGGGAAAGGGAAACGGATTTCATCTTCCTCAATTTCTTGTTCCAGTTTAGAGGTAGGTCGGGGGGAAGAAAACGGAGTCGATCGAGGAGAAAGATGATCGGAATTTCATTTGTTGCTGTGTCTTTGCGGGATTAAGGATCCGTTTGCCTCGGCTCTGGTTCTGTTGTTCTGAAGGACGGGGATTCGGTTCTCGAAATTTTGGCCTTCCGTTAACCATGGGGAACATCGGGAGCAGTGGCAACAGCGGTGGTCGCCGGAGGCAAAGGAGTAGGCGGAATCACCGGGGTTCTGCTCCTGATCCTGCTCCTGTTCCTGCTCCTTCTCCTACTCCTGCTCCGCCGCAGCAAGAAATGTCAGCCAACCGTTACGTGTTCGCCGCGGCCACGCCGTATCCGGCACAGTACCCTAACCCTAACGGTCCTCCTCCCCCTCCATATTACCAGTACCCTGGATACTACCAGCATACTCCCCCGCCGATGCCTGTGCCACTTCCGACGCCGTACGATTACCATCATCGTGGTGGTGGCCACATGGACCCTGCCTATTGGCCGAGGCACCCATATAGTCACATGATGCCGGCTCCGCCGCATTATGTTGAGTATCAGAAAGCGATCACTATACGTAACGACGTTAACTTAAAGAAGGAAACTTTGAGATTGGAGCCGGATGAGAAGAATCCGGGGAAGTTTTTGGTTACTTTCACCTTTGATGCTACTGTTGCTGGGAGGTATAAAACTAAAAGAAGCTCTCTTTTAATTTTGCTCTTGTTTTGTTCTATGCTATTTGAACACTAATTTTGGTATGAGACAGGGTACAATTTATGGATTAAAGGTGTCTTAGCTTAGATTTAGTTTCTTTTGATCTGAATTTACGGTTTATTTATAATTTTGAAAGAATATTCAAGTTAATCTGGTAGTTTTAATTTTGAAACCATGCCTGGAGGTTATGAAATTACCTTGTTTGCATAGGTGGTAGATGTTACTGCGGTTAAAGGTCTGATAAATAGGCTCTTTCCTTTGAATCTACTTCAAGCAGAAGGTGTAATTAATGAGGAAAAATCAAAAGCCACCATGTGCTATTTGATCTTTGCCATTGATGCCTTGAGGGGTCAATTTCCCCCTAACTCTGACCCTAGAGGTGAAGGCTCATAATAATCCTTTCATTTGGTATAGGACATGCGATATGAGTAAATCAAAGAAGTTTAAAACGTTCTTGATTAGTTTTTAACCCTGAAGATATGTTTCAACATCCAGGACAGATAGTTGGACCTTAAAACTTTTAAGGTTCAGTTGATGTGGAACCCTAGAATGTAGAACTTGGATTTCCTTTGGTTTAAAGTTGAAGAAGATTATCCCTTGGAAAATGTTTAAAATGATCAGGCAAAAAGAAGTGTCTGGAAGAAAGTAGTATGTGATTTTTTGTGAAGTTCAATACCACCTGGGCGCTGATCATTCAACCATGAGAGGTTCTGGTGATAACACAATATTAAACATATCTAATATCCCCTTTCTTCTCTGTCATTCTATCTTAGTCAAGTATCAGGTTTATGATTACATTTGACATTAAATGGTCTTCTATTTGTTATAATTTCACTTGTTATGTATCAATTCATCCATCTTAAGATGCAGTCTTTTGGAACAATAAGTGAATATAGTCCTTTTGAATAATATGCATCTGATATTCCTGTTCAACTTCTGAACAACATAGGCTGCTGATTTTTAGTTTACTCCCTCTGTTACTTGTCTGATATTAATTCATAACTACTCATTTCCTTTGCTCTGCGAACAGCATCACTGTTATTTTCTTTGCAAAAGAGGGTGATGATTGTAACCTGACTCCAGCGAAGGAAAATATTCTAGCACCAGTGACAGTGCATTTTAAACAAGGCCTTGGCCAGAAGTTTAGGCAGCCCTCTGGATCAGGGATTGACTTCTCTATGTTCGAGGAGTCAGAGCTACTGAAAGAGGGTGAAATGAATATTTATCCTCTAGCAGTTAAGGCAGAGGCATCTTCAATCAACCAGAATAGTTTGGAAGGAATCCCAGTATCAGGAACCCCAAATTCTCAGATAACTCAGGCTGTGTTTGAGAAGGATAAGGGTGAATACCATCTGAAAGTAATGAAACAGATACTCTGGGTCAATGAAACAAGGTATGAGCTGCAGGAAATTTATGGAATTGGGAATTCAATTGATGGTGATGTTGATGCAAATGATCCAGGGAAAGAATGTGTTATCTGCCTCTCAGAACCACGGGATACAACTGTCCTTCCCTGCAGGCACATGGTAATGACTGCCTCTTGTTCTTTTCTCCCAATTTTTCCTTTTTCATTTTTAATCCTAAGTAAATAGGTTACAGCTGCTGTAAGGTTGTATTCTCTGCCTAAACCATGGATAAAATGGAACAAATGTGTGTTTCTTATATGTGGTTGCGATCAAACTGCTGATCACGTAGCTGTTTCTGTATTCATCATGTTTTAAAGACAATGAAAGGAAACAACCATTATGTTCTCGTGATCCCATTCAGTCCTGCAAATTTAGCAATGCTAGGAAGAAGAACCTTCTTAGCTGAATCAAGATGTTCATCCTGACTTAAATATCTAGAATGTTTCTTGATGAGTTTTCATTAAGTTTATTTGAATTGTTGCCGAGGTGAATTTGATCTTAAGATCAGTAGGCGTGTATCCCATTCAGTTTTCTATATCAAACAACTCTGGTGACCATTTTTCTGGTTTGTGTATGTTGCAGTGTATGTGCAGTGGCTGTGCAAAGGTTTTGAGGTTCCAAACCACTCGATGCCCAATTTGCAGACAGCTAGTTGATAGGCTTTTGGAGATAAAAGTCAACAATGACACGGATGAATGAAAAGACAAAATGTTTCTTCTTACTAGCTTGCTGTATAGTAGTTTGTTGTCTTCCTTATATTTCCTTTCTCGCGGTCTTGATTTTCATATTTTGAAAATTTCTCCCCTTTTTAAAAGGTCTGGCATTTGAAATAATCAGACAGGAAGTTATAACTATATGCAGGCATGTTATGAACTATATGAATGAAATAGCAGGAATTGCATTGTAATATTTTTGCTTACGTTCTTGTATGCATGTGTTATACGGCCCAGTTCCAAAGTTCAACTCTCCATTCTCAAGGAATTCAGTATGTATGTGGGAACTTCTGCTTGCTATTTAGTTGGTAGACAGTGTACCAGGGACCTAATTATTTCGAAAATGAGATAGGTATAATCTCATCTGGTATTGTAGCTTACAATCACTATATATTAATATATGATTGGTTTTTTATTTAATTTTGATTTTGTGATATTATTTGTATTTATTTATTTAATATTAAATATCTAAATCATAACGATAAAGCTTACAATACAATCATGACATGTTTACATAGATTTTTTTTATTTAAGATATTATTTATATTTACTTATTTAATATTATATTGTTATTGCCAGCTTATAATCTTACCTAATGACCTGTTAGCATTAGACGAAAGAAGTGGAACCGTTCAACCATGCGTCGTGGTCAATGATGTTCACAGAGAAATATAGTCTTAGGCTTAGCTAGTCCCGTTTTGTTCTTTTAAGCAAAATTCTTTCATGGTTATCCAATAATTGAGGGTTTATCAAGCAGGGAAACCCTAACACCAAAAATAAATGAAAACCAGCTTGGTGCAGCTCCTAGTCTAGTCACCAGATATTTAATATGGTATTAAAGAAAAGAGATTTAAAATTTTCAAAATGAATAGCACATAAAAAACGCAGTTAGCGGAATGAATTTATTTAAATATTTTTAATAAAATAATATAAGAAATAGTTTTATTAGAGATATTTAAGTAAATTCATAAAACAAACCATTCTTTTAATGTATAATTTACCTGTAAAACACCTTTTTATAAAATGTAAAACACCTTTTTATAAAATGTAAAACACCATTTTGTAAATTTTTTTTTTTTTTTAAAGTGCAATCTTCAACTATACACTAAAATGCAATCTGACTATTGAAATTTAAATCAACCTTAATGTCACTTTTTTTTTTTTTTTTAATGCGTATTCATTAAAGGTAACTTGGTAATTTTAGTGTCAGACAACACACTAACCGAAATACATGAATCTCAAGAAAATAATAGCAGCAAATTATGCTAAAAAATGAAACATATATAATGATAATGGTTATTTATTGTATTAGTGCCCAACCATAAGGCAACTTAAAAGTCTTCCATACCTTCCCAACATGCTAGATGGGGAACAACAACAACAACAACAACACGAGCAACAATAAATAACAACAGCAACGCCTGCAAGCAGGATGAGTACACAGATTATTCAAACAAGACATCTTCCCAACATACCAGATAGGGAAGAATAACAACACGGCAATGATGCATAACAGCAGCAACGCCTGCAAGCAGGATGAGTACACACACAATTCAAACACTGACAAACATCCGAAATTAGGTCCACCATACATTAACGGGGTCTAGTATCCCCACCACTGATGGACGAAAAGACCAGCACTTCTGAGAACCTTGAACAGGTCCATGCAGTCTTTCTTTAGTGCTTTATTGCCAATCACACCATCTGAGCAGTGAAGGAACAGCTCGTCAACGAAGCATATGGCACCACTATCAAACAAGTCCGAGAGGAATTTCAACTCCACTGCCCCAGCATTCATCTTCAGCACCACAAAGTCTGCATATTGCACTGTTTCTTTAAACCATAGAAGGAAGTCAAACCCTTCATCTTCCACTGCTGGATCCCAATCATCAGCAATATCAGGATCTACTGGAGCTCTATTCCCAGAAAGACCTGGATGATAAACAAAGGTGATACCAGGGGTTTTGACATACGAGAGCATCACTGAAGTATTGTGGTCAACAAAATAAACATTGAAAGCTTTGTGATCCACTGGATAAGATGGCAAGAACCAGCTTGAAACATCGGTAGAGTTCAAATGCTCCCCCGCCCCAATAACAACATACACCAAACGTCTCTTAGATGAAACATCAATAAACTTGGGCAAATAAGCAATCATTTTGTTGAAACCCATTGGTTTTTCTTGCACCAAAGGCTCAATGTGATTCATGAAGGCCTTACCATTTGTGATGGATGGGCAATCTGCAGGAAGGCGATACTGATCAACAAGAGAGAAATTTTCAAGTTTCTTCTTGAAGACCACTAGTGTAAGCTGATTCAAGTGAGCAACATGCACAATACTGGAAGCTTTCAGTAATGAAGAAATTGGGGTCGCAGACCTAACCAAACTATTTTGTTCAACTCCACTGGTCCTCACAAGCATAGCACCAATGCCACCTGGTCTAAGAACTCGCTCGATCTCGAGCACAAGAAGTGCAGGGACAGAAACCTTATCTAGGTCCCTGGAGAACACAAAATCCAAGGAATTGTCATTGTAATCAAGCTCATGGATAAATTTCTTGCGTTTCAGAGAAGAGAAAATTGGGTGTCTATAGACACCACAGACATTGGAGAATCCCAAATCTCTCAACGCTCGAATGGCAGCAGCCGAACCTTCGCCAACACAGAGAGCTCTTGCATCATAGCTTAACATTTGTATACCCATTAGCTCCCTAACCACACTCACTGTCAAGTTCCCATCTTCATTACAGTGGATTGACCCAACTGAACCCCAAATACAAGAAATCAAATTTGTGCCAGAAAACAGAAGTGGACTCGAGATATTGGATTCACAGGCACAACCGTTGGGGGCAAAGGAATTGAACATTCCTGGATCATCCTGAGGCAAAATTTGCAGCAAAGGAATAACTGACAGAGCAGAGGCGAACACAAAAGCGCGTAACAGCACACGTATCGCGTAAGACCCATGAAAGATCTTAAACGCCAAGTCCTTAAGATCCATTACTAACCCTTTTTCTATGCAGTTAACAGCAATGCGATATAGAAATCTTTGATCAAACAGATCGATTGAAATTCAAGAAACCAAGAGAAATTAAAGACAGCCAAACACAGAGCAAAAGAAGAAATTAGCGAGTGCAAAACCTGGAAGAGGTGTGATTCCCACCCACGAGGAGACCCATTGATTTTTGTACGCTTAACCAGACCCTCATCGGAACTCTCTTTCTTGGCATCGGTTCAAACCACGTTTGCTCCATCTTCCCCACTCTCATCCCAGAACCATTTTCCCCTGAAACCCTACTACATTATATTTGAAAAAGTTTCCAAATTTCGAAATGGGTACTTCAGAAAAACGAATTCTGGATTTGGGTTTTGGTGTTTGAGTGAAGTTAAGCTACCGAAGAGTAAAGTGAGAGCGGATCCGAAGTCTGAACCTACAAGGACATGGATTATACAGAACGCGGGTTGAAAGGCAAGGAAGGAGGACGGCACGTGGGGAAAGAACAAGACAACGTGGCAGCAAGAGGCCACGTGTGATCAACAATCGGCATGCGTGCCTTGGGTTCGATGGTCCCACATTCAAACGAATCTTTTTTTTTCTTAATTCATTTCAAATGATTCATGGAAACATTATTTGGTTTCCATAGGATTTTAAGAGGAGAAGCGCACTTCATATCAAAAAAAAAAAGAGGAGAAGCGCACTCATCTACCCTGCTTGTATGGTCCGATCCGTTTAAAGAAAGGTGTGGCTCAAAATGTTTGTTGGACTTCTCCATCAACTTGAGGGGCCTGGTTGATTAAACAAGCGGTAAAGTTTGAGAAAGTGGTATATGAAAAAGGAAATAGTATTTATTTACAATATCTTTTTAAAAAAATTATTTTTAAATTAAATTGTTTCAGTAAATTTTTATTAAAAAATTAAAATATCATATTTTTGAAACATAAATTAGAGTGTTTTTTTGTTAATTTTAATAATATTTTATTAAAATGATATAATTTTAACACAATTTTAAAGAGGTAAGAACAATAAGAATTAATCTTATAAAAAATTTTGTAATTAAATTTTATTGAAATGGTAAATTTTTTCTTATTAGGTAAGAAGTTGATATAAGAAAAGTTATTGAAAAATTATCATATGGGTCCTCTATTATTAGAAAAGTTGATGGAAAGGTTTTTCTTTTTTAAAAATATGGGAAAAAAGATCGCTCGTTGAGAAAGGAAAAATAAATATTGAAAATGTTAAGAAAACAAAGTTGATATAAAGAAAATTAGTAGATAAAAAGTGCATGTAATCATAGAAATTTTGTCTCTTTTTTTTTTTATTTAATTACGTAAACTTTTCAAGTTTCTAAATCAAATTGTAAATTTTTATTTTTTCTATGTAAAGATGTGAATTTTGCCCTATTTCAATTAAGATTTTCGTTTATCATGTTATTATCTCCATTCAATAAATTTTTAAATTAAAAAAAAAAAACTTAAATTCTAAATAAAGATATGAACTTGGAGTGTTTTTTTATTTAAAATTAACATCTAATTTAAAATTTTGAAAAGTTTATATCTTTAAATAAAAAAATACCAAAATATGAATCTTTATTTACACTTTTTTTCAAAATTAGTAAAAAACATGTTTATTAAAAAAACTTTTTCCATGTATTATTGTCTCATTTCCCCTGTTTTAAAAAATAAAATTGCAAAATTACCTTGTTAGTTCATTCACTTATTTGTGGTTATTATTATTATTATTATTTTTAAGGGAAAGTTGGATATTTGAAGGATAGCTTATGTGTATTGTCACGGTAATTTTCCTCTAGATGATGTCGAGGGCTAAGGCGGTGGACACTTCACAAATTTCACATTGCCTTATGCATTTAAGGAAGTTGAATTTCAAACCCCCATGTGACCTAACTGGCCATACTGCCTGGTCTGCACCCTTTCAGCGGTTTGAATCTCTCCATTAATAGATATTAATACTATCTCTAACTAATTTTTATTGTCAAGAAAAAAAAAAAAAAGAGGTTGAATTTCTTGAGTGTTATTACTAAACTCTAAATTTAATTTAGAAAATAAGTATTTGCTTGCAAAAAAATTCAATTGTAAAAGTTATTTGTTTGTCGTTAATTCTTTACTATGTTGGTTTCACCAGGTTAATGATATGTAAATAATTTTTTATATAATTTTATTTTATAATTTATATATATTATTATATAAATAAATAAATATAATATTATGAATTTTAATAAAATAAAAAATATCAACTGTTAAATAATATTTACAATTATACAAAAAAATTATCAATCATTTTCTCATTTCACACCAGTTGTATTTTTTAAATTTGAGGTCAAATTGATTTTTAATTTTTAATACAAATCAGTTATATAATACTGTAGAAAGATTGTTTTGCTAAACAGAGGCTTTTAGAAAATAAGATGACTTAAGTTTCTTAATGGTAATTTTTTTAATAAAATAAAAAATTTTATATTCAAATTACAACACAGCTTAATGCATGAAGAAGGGTAACACCAAATATTTAAAAAAAAAAAAAATTGTGTCATTTTCAATACACGAAGTGGAAATTTAAAATCTCCCTTTCCATGAAAGGGACGATAGAAGCCTTCAATTTAAGGTTTCATACATTCTGGTACAGAACTTGATTAGGTTGCAAATTGTGATCACTCAAATGTTTTTTTAAGTAAAAAAAAGAAAAAAAGAAAAAAAAAAAACCAAAACATTTTCAACCATGAAATAATTGTTCCTTTAATTTAGGCGTTGACGTCCCATGGTGCTTGTGTGCTTGTACACACAATTGCTCCACCTATTTTTATTGGAGCTGAGTTTGATTATTTTACTTTTAATTTTAGTTCATTTAATTATTCCGCCTGTACGTAGTATCAAATTCTTTAATATTAACAATTATTTTTTATTTAATGATTCTTATTTCATTACAAGAAATATTTATAAGTCAATTTTATAAAAAAATAAAGTAAAAATTATTTTAAAATTATATTATTATAAAAGATTGTTATT